ACTGCAGATATGTGGACTGGCCTACCTTCCTGCAGGAGAACGCCATCTACATCCTGGCTGCCCGTCCCAACAGCGCAGCCATTCATCTGAAGCCTCCAGGATAGCACAGAGCCCAGAAGCTCAGCTCGGGGACAATGGCATTCTCTCCCTCCTTTCCTGTCACCCCCCCCCACACTCCAACCCCTGGCACTGAGACTCACGGGGATGGGGCACTGCCAGCATCTTCATCTGTCACCAGGCTTGATGGCTCTGAAATCAGCGCTCCTGTCAGAGGCACAGGAGAAGCCTGGGAGCAGGGGCAGCGTCCACTCTGCACCACAGGCCTCGGGGGTCCACACCCCTGCCCTCACACCATAGCTGGCCACAGACTGGGCCTACCACCACACGTACACGTGTGCACGCACACACGCACGCCTAGCTGTCCACGCCTTCACAGGCCACACTGGTTCTTTGGCTGGAAAAGGACCTGAGTCCCTTTGTGAATCCCCCGCTGTAGGTCTTGGCCAGTTCTGATTACTAATACAGAAGGCTCAGGCCAAGCAGTTCTTAACGAGGGGCCGTATCAGACTCACATGTGCCCGGGACATGCTCTGGGCCTCCTTGCCCCGCATGGAAACTCCTGTGTGGTAAGCCAGTGTGACTGTCGGACATGCAGTGTATCCCTGACGTGTGTTGGGGAAATAATTGAAAATAATTGAAAACCGCCACTGTAGCTCAGCGGACTATTAAATTCTAATTCTTAGTGACAGAGAAGACAACTAGCTTGGTCAGAAAAGGGGGAGGCACCCTTCCCAGGGACCCTGGAGCCGCCCCAGCAGGCCAGCCAAGCCCAGCGGCCTCCAGCAGCACAAAGCCAGGGCGGCTCTCCAGACTCCTCCCTCCCACGCGCAAGCTCAGCGTCTAGAGCCCAAGGGGCCCGAGTGGAGCAGGAACGGCTGTCCGCTGTGTCGGATGCTTCGCTGAGTCGGCCGCCGCAGGAACCAGAGCCCGAGCTGCAGTGCCGCAAGTCCTGGGCGGAAAAGGAGCCGCTGCTCCGGCTCACGCAGCCCGAGGCCCACAGAAGTGTGCCGGTGGGTGGCGAACAGAGCCAGCCTCTCCTGCAGCCTAAGGCGGCAACACCAGAGTCCAGCAAGCCTCCTTTCAGCCATCCCGACAGCGGGGAAGGAGACCAGCGCTGAGAGGAAAGTTCGCATCTGAGCTGTCCTGGTGCGGCCTCAGGGCCGGGGTCTGAGTCACTGCCGCTCCCCACTCGTGTCCTGCCACCCCACCCCCAGGATTAGGGCCTGGCCTGGCAGCACCAAGCCTGGCCTCCCAGCTCCCCTCCTAGGTTCTCACCAAGTTCTCAAATCAGCATATACTGTGGGTGAGCCTGGCCCTGGATCCAGGTTCTATTTCCAATCTAGTGGCTTGGGCGTCCCAGATCCGACTACCAGTAGTTAGAGAGGAGGGTGGGCTCGGTCGCGAGAAACTAGCCTGTCCCCATTGCTGGGGGCACTTTCTGTACCAAGTCGGGCGCGAGCAGAAAGAGCGCGCGGCTCGGTGCTGAGGTGCTCAGGCGGGGGCGGCGCTCCGTGGTCCAGTCCTGGTGACGCTGCCTGACCGGAAGCCTGGGGCTCTGCTGGGTTTGGGTTTGGGACTGAGATGAGGCAGATGCCCAGATGACAGAGCTGGCTTCCGTGTGCGGCCCTGAGCGCCTTCAAACCTGTGTCCTCAGCTTACTCCAGGACTGACGGGGAGAAGGGTCCGCCATTCAGGGCAGTGCGCCAGCCCTTCCAAACAAGCCAGCACGCGCCACGTGGGCCCAAGGACAGCACCCGCAGCAGCCAGGCCATCGGGGTCTTCCTCACTCTCCTGGCGCATCACCCCGTGTGCTTGGCCTTGGGTTGCTTGCGCTCACAGACGAGGCATCCTGTGTAGAGATGAGCCCGTGTGCTTGGCCTTGGGTTGCTTGCGCTCATGGACGAGGCATCCTGTGTAGAGACGAGCCCTGGGCCTTGAGGGCAGCAGAGCTTGGTTCCTTCTGCTGCCGCCTCAGCCACAGCGACTGGGGGTCCATCTTGCTCACTGATGCCCCACAGCGCAGGGTGATGCCCGCTTCCCTTTCTGTGAATGAGTGGTGAGGAGTGTGGACCAGACCCAGCCGGCTATACGTAGGCCTGGCAGGGTGGCCCTGGAGTCCTTCTGCCGTAGGATCAGACCCACCAGGGATGACAGGACGCTTCCCTGGTGGAGGCTGGCAGAGGCTCAGAGGACACGGACCAGCAGACAAGCGTTCCAAGCCCACGGGAGCTGAGGACACAGAGCACAGAGGAGCTGCCAGCCTCTTCTCCACAGGAGTCTAGCTCTTTACCAAAGGAAGGTCCCATGGCTTCGGAAGCCCCGCCAGAGGCTTCCCCTGCAGTGTCCTCACCCACAGGGCCCTCGGCAGCCTATGAAAATGTGTGGAGTTGCCTGCACCTAGCTCGGCCCGGGCCCTTCCCGTCAGTGCTTACGTCCCTGTGGCCGTCTGAAATTCTGGCAGGTGTCAACAGCTCGTGTCCGACCCTGTGAGGCAGGAGAGAATAGCTCAGTCTGTCTGCTCGGCTGCCCGAAAGCGAGTCGGTGTTTCTCCCAGCATCACCGCTCTACCTCCCAGCGGCTCTGCTCCTCTGAAGACTGCCTGCCCTGAGCCCGTTTGTCCTTCGGCAGCCCTCTTCCCCATGCTGCGGTTTGCGGTGGGGCAGAGCTGCGGGGACATGGGTCGGCTGAGGGAGAGCTGTCCCTCCGTAACCTCTCCAGGTCTGCGCCACGCCTTCCTGCGGGGGCCGGCCCTCCCCGAGCTGCAGGCGCCGAGCAGCATTCCAGGGATGGCGTCCCACCGCTCCTCCATCAGGAGCCAGCTCTCAAGTGCTCTTCCGCCTCTGATGACAGCTGCAGCAGGAGCCTCTCACGCTGCCCCTTCCTGCCCTCAGCATGGTCCTTTGTGGCCCTGGTGCTCCCTATGGGATGTCACCTCTGACCTTTGTGTAAGTGGCCAAGTCTAGGGACTCCCCCAGTGCAGCCACACAGACTCAAGCTGCCTGGGAAGAGGAAACTCCCTGGGAGCGAGCCTGGTCTTCGTACACAGCCAGCCCCAACCCTGGCAGACGCGCACCTGAGGAAGCTCGGCAGGACCTGGCAGGGCCCCAGGCCACCTGGGACCAGCCCAGAACTGAGTAACCTCCAGCCAGGAGGGGGAGCTGCTTCCAGGCGCCCCTGACCCCACAGCGCGCCCACTGCCAGCCTGCGGGGTTGAGTGCCGTGCATTCCTGATACTGAAAGGCCGAGCAACCTTGACAGCAGGATGTGGGGACATCCCGGCAGCACCCGTCGCCACAGCCCCTCCCCGCCCCTCCGCTCACAGCTGAATCCATAGCTGCTGCCTTTGCCATTCCGCCTGCTTTGGATTTGCCGGGATCTGTCTCTCGATTCCTGGCTGTAGCCCCGACGACTGAGGTCTCCTTGAGTTGGTGATACTAATACATCAAGCCTGTTTGAACTCAGCCCCGGGCTACGGCGGGGCTGGCCATCTCCCAGCGGCTCAGCCCCGGGCTACGGCGGGACTGAGCCTTTCCCTGCTGTTGCTCCACCGCTGCCGCAGCTGCTGTTGGCAACCTTGAGAGGAAACGGAAATGAACAAGCCTCAGCGATTCCACCAGACTCAGCTAGTGCTAAGGAAAAGCCAAGCCAAGGGAACCCCCACTCTTCCCTCTGGGCCACAGAACGTGGAGAGGGTGTCAGGTCTTGCCTGGGCCAATGGCTAAGAAGCCCAGTCACCTTCCAGTTTGATAGCACTGACTTGGTGTGACCACAAATGAGAACATTAAGACCTAGGTAGCAGGGCCTTTCCACATCTGTGGTGGAAAGGTCTTCACACTTAGCCACCAGCCATTAAGATGCCTGTGACCTGTGTCCCAGGCAAAACCAGGATTGGGCGGGACCCTCTGAGAATACTTGAGCACGGTGGAGGATCCACTGGCCCCTCACCCACCCTCCGGCCGCTCGTGCCCCACGCGCACGCTTTTCCGAGGACAGGAACTTGACGGTAAGCTGAGAGAAGTGTCCTCACGCCCTGCCTCCCATCCCTGCAGCCGCATGCTCCTCCCCACAGCCCAGCCTTCGTGGGCGCTGCAGAAGGAGCTTTGCTCCCAGAGGCTGGCCACAGCGGAAGTCCTAATAAAAAGATTGTGATGCTCTCTTGGCTTCCTGTTTCCTCTTTTTTGTAAACCTGCTGAGTTTCTGTGTGGATTCCTATTCTTGGCCAATAGCTGGGTCTGAGTATAAGACAGGAGCAGCTAGCTGTGGCCTCCAGGAAGAACGTGACTCCTGTCTTATCTGACGCTGCCGAGACACAAGTACCACATGGCAATGGCTTTGGCGGATTTCTTCGCTCACATTTCAGGAAGCCAGAAGTCCAAAGTCAGAGTGCTGGCGCCAGGGGCAGGTTTTCTCCGCATGTCACTTGGTTCTCGGAGCATCCCAATGCAGCGACCTGGGTCCAAAGGACGCGCTCAGCTCCTGGCTCTTCCTTAGTGGTACAAGGTCCCCCTCCTCTTCTCTCTCCTTTTATCTCTTGTAAGAAAAAGGGTGTTGCAGGCCACACCCCAGGGAAACTCCCCTTAACATGGGATCAGGGTTGTGACAGGAATAAGGGCATCCCACCCTAATCCTCTCACAACTGATTGGCTTATCGTGTTAGATCACATGGGAGGGTTGTTACATAACTGCTACATTACATCTTAACTGCCAAACCACAGAATCATGGCCCATCCAAGTTGTCACATTTTGGGGGGACACAACTCAATCCGTGACATTCCACCCTTTGGCCCCCAAAATTCATGTCCTTGCCACGTGCAAAACACTTTCACCCAATTATATCATCCCAAAAGTCTTAACTCCAAGTCCAAAATCCATCCTTGGGCAGAATTCCTCTTCATCTGAATCCAGAATACAAGCTGCCTGCTCCCAGAGTACAGGGGTGGGGCACCCACAGACAGACGCCGTTACAGATGGGAGGAACTGGGGAGAAAGAAGGGGCAACGGCGTCAATCAAGTCAAAAAACCCAGCAGAACCCTTTACATTAAC